GCTCCAGAACCTGCTGACGGGTCAGAACATCTGTGAGCTGCTCCAGAACCTGCTGACGGGTCAGAACATCTGTGAGCTGGTGGTCCAGAACCTGCTGTTTAAACATGAGGCTCCTGGTTCTGGTTCCTGCCGGTGTCGGGTTGGACTCGTGTATCTTGTGACACGTGAGCCGTGCAGCAGACGGGTCCTTGTTCACTCAGAAGAAGTTTCCTGAATTAGAAACGTGTCGGCGCTGACGGTCGGAGCACAGACTCCTCCCACGTGTGAAGTGACGGAGGTTTGTAAAAAGTGTCGGTGCTCGGCGTCGACCCCTGGACCAGCTGACGTCGCTCTGATGTCGCTTCAAGCTGAGAGTTCAAACCCTCATTAAGAAGTAACTAATTACTCTGCAGGTAATGAAGTTACTTCATTTCAAATAAAAGTGCTCATTGTTGACACTTTAATCAGATTTCTGATGTTTAGTACTTCCTGTTTGTTCTGGAAGAGACCGTTTGAATTCTTTACTGCTTAAACCATCCGTCCATCCATCCATCCATCCATCCATCCGTCCATCCATCTGTCCATCCATCCATCCATCCATCCATCCGTCCATCCATCCATCCATCCGTCCATCCATCCGTCCGTCCGTCCGTCCGTCCGTCCGTCCATCCATCCATCCATCCATCCATCCATCCATCTGTCCATCCGTCCATCCATCCGTCCATCCATCCGTCCGTCCGTCCATCCGTCTATCCGTCCGTCCGTCCGTCCGTCCATCCGTCTATCCGTCCGTCCGTCCATCCATCCGTCCATCCATCCATCCATCCATCCATCCATCCATCCATCCATCCATCTGTCCATCCATCCGTCCGTCCGTCCGTCCATCCATCCGTCCATCCATCCATCCATCTGTCCATCCATCCATCCATCCATCCATCCGTCCATCCATCCATCCATCTGTCCATCCGTCCGTCCGTCCATCCATCCATCCGTCTATCCGTCCGTCCGTCCATCCGTCTATCCGTCCGTCCGTCCATCCATCTGTCCATCCATCCGTCCATCCATCCATCCGTCCGTCCGTCCATTCGTCCATCCATCCGTCCGTCTATCCGTCCGTCCGTCCATCCATCCGTCCATCCATCCGTCCGTCCATCCATCCATCCATCCATCCATCCATCCATCCATCCGTCCATCCTCTTTACCTGCTTCTTCCTTTTTGGGTCCTGGAGGTCACAGGTCTCCAGTCCATCACAGGGACACCTGTCCAGGTGTCCAGTCCATCACAGAGACACCTAGGAACAATTTACAGTCACCAGTCAGTCTAACATGCATGTTTTTGATCTGTGGGAGGAAACTGGAGTACCTGGAGAAAACCCACACAGCACGGGGAGAACATGTAAACTCCACACAGAAAGACTCCCGGCTGGGATTTGAGCCAGCTACCTTCTCCCTGAGAGGCAACAGCTCTACCAACTGAGCCACCGTGCCACCGCTTAAAAGTACAGTTTCCTGAAACGATTGAGGTGGCCAACAAATCATCTGTGGTGAGCCAGGCCACCACTGGCCACCCCCTGGCTCCACCAACCGTTCCCTCCGCTCGCCAGGATCCCCGAGCTGCCTCCGACAAGCACAAATAAAAAACCTCTACCTCTTCTCCTCCAGTGAAACGTTTACTTGAACATCTTTCACCAGAAACATTTTGGTTTACGTTCATTTCCAGTCCAGGACAACGTCTCTAAAGCTAAAGGTTCTCTCTCCCAGTCCCTCTGCGACGCTGGCGTACTGGTTAACAGCTGGAGTTCTGCTGCTCCGTGTAGTTCTCAGGTGACCTCATGCTGTTTGCTCTTCACGCTCAGGTGCTGATCTGTCGTAACTACAAAGGCGACGTGGACATGGCCGAGGTCGACCACTTCATGCCTTTACTCATGCAGCAGGAAGAGGAGGGCCTCGTCAGCCCCGTCATGTCTCACGGGAACGTCCACTTCCTGTGGATCAAACACAGCAACCTGTACCGTATCCTAACCGCACCGTAGTCCCTGACGCTTGTCTGAAGGGACCGAGGGTTTTCTTTAGACCATGATCCTTGACCCTCGCCGTGTGCAGTCGTGGCCACCACGAACAAGAACTCCAACGCGTCCCTGGTTTACTCGTTCCTCTACAAACTAGTTGAGGTGAGCACCTTACACAGGCTGTAAGCACTTGGATGTGCTCTGACGCTGATTTTAAGGGTCACGCAGGTGTTCACAGAGTACTTCAAAGAGCTGGAGGAGGAGAGCATCCAGGATAACTTCGTGGTTGTTTATGAGCTGCTGGATGAACTGATGGACTTTGGGTTCCCTCAGACGACTGACAGCAAGATCCTCCAGGAGTGAGACTGTTTTGTTTTTTTATAAAGGTTCATATTTAGCATTTTAGTTGAGGCCAACTTTTTCATCTTTTCTCACCATCTCTTTGCAGGTACATCACTCAGGAAGGCGCCAAGCTGGAGGTGGCCAAGAGCAAGGTGCCCACCACGGTCACCAACGCCGTCTCCTGGCGCTCAGAGGGCATTAAATACAAAAAGAATGAGGTCTTCATCGATGTCATCGAGTCCATCAATGTTCTGGTAAGATGACACGAGTCTGGCCTCCCCTGTAGCTGCAGTGTGTCGCAGGTAACAAACTTGAGCAGGAACCTGCGACCTGCAGACCACAGCTTCAGTCCATCTGCAGTAGCTCCGTGCAGCTCTGAACAAACATGGCGTAGAAAAAATACATTTTTATTCCTGTGGCTCCAAATCACATCAGAAGTTACCTGAGGTCTCTGAACAGAAACATCCAGACTTGATAAAACAACCAGGAAAGTTCTCCCTGAGGATTGTTTCAATCTTCTCTTCATCAGTCTCCCCTCCTGAGCAAGACCAGAGGAGACAGTGGGAAGAAAAACTCCTTTAACAGGAACAAACCTCCAGTGGAACCAGACTCAGGACGAGTGTCCATCTGCTTGGACCGGCTGGGTCTGAGAGGACAGGAAGTAGAGACAGACACAAAGTGACAGGTCCAGGGGAACTTTCTATAGTCCAGGTGTGGTTTCTATAGTCCAGGTGTGGTTTCGGTAATCCAGGTGAACTTTCTATAGTCAATGTGTACTTTCTATAGTCCAGGTGTGGTTTCTATAGTCCAGGTGAACTTTCT